CGGAGCTTATCCAAAACTTCTCGTACTGCAGATGGACGACATCTGCAAGTCATTGATTTCGGCTCCAAAACCTACATGTAATTTTAATGTATATTAAACTATGTAAAAAATAATGAAAGAAAAAATCTCATACAAAATCAAACTCTTGTAATGAAAATATTCCTTCTACCTAAACCCTAATTTCATAACCACTTCTAGACAAATGAAATTTAAAATCTTTTGAAAGTCAGTCTTAAAATTCATCATTCAGACTTAATATACCTCAAGATATTAAAATTCACCATTAAATATTAACGAAAGCAAAATCTTAAATATACCTAGAAACGGCCTTGGGTTGCTTTATGGAATCGGTGTCCTCCGTTTTCCTCGTTTTGGAGCCACCTATATCCTTCTTCTTGTGTCCACCCTTCGCCATTAGCTTTGACAACTCGATCTCAAGCTTCTTGCCATCCTTGATGTCCGGCTTCTCCGTCTCGTCAAAATGGGCAACATTCTCCTCTTCCAACGACGCCGTACCCTTGCCGATGCCCTCCATTTTCAACAAAACCCTAAACAATATCAATACCTCAACGTAACGTTCGAGTGAATGCAAAACCTAGGCGTGAACGAAAATAAGAATTCTTACTGTCTCTAAATTTTTTTACCGCTACCGCGGGTATTTGATCAGTCGCGTTAAACGAAGGTTACATTCGCTACCTAGGTTATCACCAGGGTAAGCAAACGTTTCATTTCAGGCGGTTACCGCAAAGTTACGTTTCACTTTCGCTCTCGGTTACAGCTCAGTTATACTGCTAGGTTACAATGAGCAATATGAACTCTCGATTACGGCTCAGTTATAGCTCGTTTATATTGCTAGGTTACACGGCGCTGTGTTAGATCTCAGTTACGGTGACGTTATAAGCACGGTTCATTCGTCTTGAGGTTACAATCCTGTTATTAGAGCGGTACCACGGTAATGCCCCCTCGGTTACACCGCCTGTACTGCTCAGTTATAACTCGATTATAACCCAGCGGGCCGAGTCGACGGGTCGCATTTGAATAAAGGCGGTGGGATAGACATTGCTGATTTGTCAAGCGGCCATTGGAAGACGTAGGGAGCGCTGCGTACGTCTTACATACGCAATTTTTTTCCCAATAACCCTCCAAATAAGCTCATTTTGAGAAACTCACCGGAATGTTGACATGCTTTGGAGGTACTCGTGGGGTCATTCTGGGCCTTGAGGAGCTCTATAGTTTATCATTTCTAAAAGTACGCTAGCGAGTATGATTGATCTGATCAACACCAGATCATTAAGTGCATAACTGGCATACTCGATCCATCAAACCCATGAGGCCTATTTAGCATTTGAGATTTTGTGTTCCTTGAAGTAACTCATTTTCGGATATACATCCCTCAGAATTTTTCTATGTTAAGTTTTTAACATAATAAACTATTCTTTTCTATTCTTTCTATAATTTTCTGATTATGTATAGACATTCCATATAGGTTAAAACAAATAATCTTTTCTTACTATCAACACGATCTACTTTTCCTAGTTTAGTAATTACTGGTGCCTGATTGCCTTCTAAGTTCTTTTATAAAGAAATTCAAATGAAAACAGCAAGAAACAAAAGATTAAAAAAACAAAAAAAGTGGAATAGTTAAAAATCATAATTTTTTAGCTTAGTAGCTCACTTCAAAATCTCCCGACAATGACAGCAAATGCTCATGCCCTGATCTAACATCCCACTGGACCTTGTGGCCTACATCATAAGAAAATCCTTGGAGGGGGAGGAGGAAGAAGAAGAGGCCTATGTTGATGCGAATAACAAAGGATGAAGAAGCACAGAACGCCATTAATGATGCTCATGTTCCTCCTACCATTCGTGAGAATACTACTTCCCAGATCTAATGAAGAGAATCCAAAGACAAGCAAATGGAGAGGAAATACAGATGAGTCCAATTACTTCCACCACCGGAAAATGCAGCTCGGCGGCAGAGGCGGCTGGGATGATGAAGGAAGCAGAGATGCAGAGTTTAGAGAAGAGATGAGATTTGCACCCACTGGTTCCAATCCCCTCCGCAATTGATCCATGATATGATAATTTCTTCATCTTCTTTTTTTTTTGGTTTTATGTTGTGTCCTCTGGCAATTCAATGCATGGCACTTGTAACATTTCTATTTAGAAATCCAACTCTCTTTTTCAATCATTTTTCAAATTCTCACTCAAATATCAAAATTTACAATGAATCTCAAACCCAACATTTGCATTTGAACAGGGATGCTCAGGTTTGGCGATTCAAATGATCACTGCTTGCTTGTTTTGTAAATAACAATGTTTGAGTGTGGTGTATGTAATTATCCCAAAAAGATTGAAATTGCTTGTTCGAAACATTCTCATAATAATGTCTCCAAATATTAACTGTGGACACCGCACGTTCGGACATCCAATCATAGGAGATCACGCGACAGCAAATTCACGTGTATGTGTACGATGAAGAGTGGTCTCCCAAAATTTTGATTAAAATAGAGCATTAATCATAGTGGCTGTTTATTTAAGCTAAAATAAGGCTGAGGATTTTCTTCTAGTATTTTGTGGATATTAGTTTTGTTTTTAAATATATACTTTATAAATTACTCATAAGGAGCATATCTAATGCATCAATGTTCTGCAAATTTCGGATTGAGGAGTTGATTTAATTCTATTGCCTGAAGTTCATAATATGGCTGTCTAGATACTTCTATTTTTCCATTTGGTTTGCATTGGCCTATAACCTTAGGCAATTTTCTTTCTCTTTACTGCTTACATTTCAAGCTACTTGAAAGAATCATGTCTACCAGCCCTGTTGCACATAATGATCACTGATATGTATCTTTGATCAAATACTTCATCCAACTTATTAATATATGATCTATCATAATTTAGGCAGCATCACATCGACTTCCTTATTAGAAAATATAAAAAAAGAATATGCTACAAAATATAAAATTTTGACTTAGTATAACTTTAATTATTCCAAATAGGAAAATTAACATATTTATCACAAGTAGTGTTATAAAACTATGCATAAAAAAGGTGCGTTTTACTTTTATAAAGTTAGTAAGAATGGTATTTTTTAAGGGATGTTAATGATTTGAGTGTTTTGGGCGTGAACACCAAAGTTTATGTGTTAGACATGTATATTCATGAGAATGGTGTGGTATTCAAGTAAATGCCCTTTGTAATTATCAATTCGGTGGACTGGATCTCCACATTTCAATTTGAGAAGTAATTGACTACTACTTTTTAATATCATCAATCATTGTCAATAATATTTGATGAGCCAAGTCTCAAAAATATGTATCTTCAATGCCCTAAGAAAATGATCAAATCTATTAGCTTTGATAACAAATTAGTCATTAGCCTTAAATTATCTAACAATGTTTTTTTAGTATACCCCTAGCTCTACATATAACCCAAGCACTATAATGCCCTTCAATAAAATGATTAGATAAAGGATTTGCATATATTATATGATAACTCAAAAAAGTCAATTCTAAAAGGGACGAATAAAAATCATAATAGAATATTTTTTAATAGTATTTGAAGTACGATCAAACTCTTTAGAGCATCTTTAAACCATGATCGAATAAAGATCAAATAATATTCAAAATATGATCTACCAATCTTCAAATGATGACCAAATAAACATTATTCAAAACATTATTGAATAATGATCGAATAATCAGTAAACATAATTTAAATTAACTTTGAACAATGATCAAATAATTTTTTTAATAATGATCAAACTATGATATGATAACAAATCAATAATGATCGAAGCATCCTCAAATCATCTTTAGGGAATCTTCAAATGGTGATTGAATCGTCATTAAAATTGATCGAGCATAGTAGGCCCCATACTTCAACAGACCCAACCAATTAAACTATTTTCTTTTATAATGATACTCAAGAGTTCTATAATATTTTATAGACACAACATGCAATAGTCAGTCTGGGTTGTCTTACTTTGGTATGCACGGTCACTTTGTTGTGGCTCTCTCTCTCTTTCTGTAACTATCCATGCATATCAAATCTCATCAAATTGGAGTTGTTAAGATAATGTCTAGACTCATTTTATTTAAATTTGTTATAGTTAGACTCAACTCAACTCAACTCTAGTAAGCATTAATCAATGTCAGCTTAATTAAACCACACCAAAACTAATTAAATATGTAGATAAATAATTATTTATTCACTTTTAACAGATTAAAATAATCAAGTTAAAAAAAATTACTATTTTCGACCAATCCAAGCTTGCAAGGCCATGTACTATTCAAAATGCTTAGATTATGACATAAATTACAATTTAAGCAAATGCCTGACTAACATCTATAAGGTAAAAGGCTTCACAAGGACCTATCACCCATTTTTAAGATGTATCTTCTTAAACTTTTTATTTTAGTAGAATTTAATAAGAAGATGTTAAAGCTTGCTTATTTAACAATCAAATATTTAAAAGAATATTCGAAGTTATTTAATTATTTAATTAAATGATCATGAGGGAGCTGACCCAGAAGTTGCTGGTCAAACATTTTATTTTTTTGTAACCCTATTTTTATTATAAGGTACAAAGAGAGATTTATAAGGAGAAGATTGGGACATAAAATGTGCACCAGAAGCTTCGAATATTTATTAAATATCAATATTTTATAAAACAATACTCCTGAAAAAAATTTAATCATTTTTGTCGACGAAAATAAACAGACATACATATAAAAGGTGAAAATTCCTAGCATAATTGAAGAAAATTGGGCTGATAAGAGACTATCTCATATGTTTTGGACCTTTGATTCTATCTCAACTCTACGAGAAATATTTACGTACATGTATGCAACACTGCGTACGTCAGATAGGTTATAGAAAAAATATTGAGAATTATATCCGTTTTATACCTATAATCTTCCTGTAACCTAACTATAATCTATCTAACTTAAGAATATATGAACTTATTGGTTACAACCACAACTCCACCCCTTTAACCACAATACCTGACCAATACTAACCTATCAACTCCACCCCTTTCACGCTGAATCTGCGCAGGATACGATAAGATGGCTCTCTCCGCTCCCATTGCAGCATCTCCTCATTGTTCGCTGCCTCGTCGTCATCGGCTGGCGCGCAAAACGGCGTCCGGTGCTCCGTCGACCGCCGCGAGCTCTTTGCTCGCATTGCTCCGGTTTATGACAATGTTTTGTCGAAACCCTAATCTCCATCAGATTCCAACATATGTTAGTTTGTTTGTTTGTTGGGATATCGATACTTTTTTGCTTAAAGAAATGTCGTCTTTTGTAATGCGGCCGCAGTTGAATGACTTGCTGAGCTTGGGGCAACATCGGATATGGAAAAGGATGTGCGTTTCTTGGAGCGGGTAAGCATTTTAATCTCAAATTTTGAATTACAGCCTCTCTGTCCTATGTTTGGCGATCGAAACTGTGTGGATACGAATATAGAGGGGTTTATCAGCATATCACAGAATTCTTATGCATTTACATATCTAACATAACAATCTTTGTATTTGGTTGTATTATTTCACAGTGTCTGAATTGCACTAAACATGTGCATGAAAATATGTGTTTTACTTTAGATAAGTTAACGCAAGTATTTTTTTTATTTTTTTAATGTGCTTTTGAGATTTTGAGTGTTATGCATCTCCCCTGTTTGATTTGTTCGTGTTAGATAATGATACTTTTAGAGAATGATGATTCAATGCTATACTTTGCATAGTTTGTAGAATAGTCAATGCCATGATAATAATTTGGGTAAAAAATTAAGGGAATGTTTTATGTGTGAATGGTTTAGGTAGCATCTTTAGCTGTGTAAATAAACAGACAAGGTATCATTGCTCCGCAATTTATCAACTAAAATTCTTACATTTGCTGAAATTGTTTGAGATTCTACTTTAAAAAATGTTGCCTCCTAATGCTAACACATTTAACTGATACTTTGTAGGGCAAAAAAAGGAGATGTTGTCCTCGATTTGTGTTGTGGCAGTGGCGATTTAACTTTCCTTCTGTCCCAAAAAGTTGGATCCAGTGGAGAGGTGCCCTCCCCATCTTTATAGCAAATTCTCTTAAATAAGTATAATGCTATTTCTTTTCCCAATTAGACTCGTCTCTATATGATTTAAATTTGCACAGCTTCTGATGTGTTTTTTCAAGTTTGTATTATTTAACATGCTAGGGACAAGTTGATACCTATTAAGATAATGTCCACAGATTTGGGGAATCTAATTTTTGGATTTGTCTCATGCAATATCAAAATAATTCATATGAAAACTCTACATTGAAGATCACCTTTTTTCATGTTCATTTTTTGTCCATCTTCATGAGCACTTGAATTGATCTATAAAGTACCCCACATTTTAATATGAGACAAATAATTTCACCTCATACAATATGACAAAAGCATAGCATCAGAAAGGATCACATAAAGAGTTATTATAACCATTTTGAATTATATATATATATATATATATATTTATGTGCGCCACAGACTCAGATCAGTTGGTCGGGCATCTACTTGTCAGTTGTAAGTCTAATTTGGTCTGAGGTTCGATTATCCCTGAGTGTAGGGTGTGGTACTCGAATTCTTTGGTGCATGAGGGATGACCGAGGTTGGTATAATAGCCTCCAACTGGATGGATGGATGGATGGAGAAATGGATGGATGGATAGACGGATGGATGGATGGATGGATGGATGAAATGGATGGATGAAATGGATGGATGGATGGATGAATGGATGGAAATGGATGGAGAAATGGATGGATGGATAGATGGATGGATGGATGGATGGATGGATGAAATGGATGGATGAAATGGATGGATGGATGGATGAATGGATGGATGGATCGATGGATGGATCGATGGATGGATAGATAGATCGACCGATAGATGAATGGATCGATTGATCGTAGATAGATCGATGGATAAATGGATGGATGGATAGATAGATGGATCGATGGATGAATAGATAGATGGATCGATGGATAGATAGATAGATCGATGGATGGATAGATAGATGGATAGATGGATAGATAGATTAATCGATGGATCGATCGATCGATAAATAGATAGATTGATCCATGGATAGATAGATCGATAGATGGATGGATAGATGGATGGATGGATAGATCGATAGATAGATCGATGGATAGATGGATGAATAGATATATGGATGGATAGATGGATAAATCGATGGATGGATAGATAGATCGATCGATGGATAGATCGATCGATCGATGGATAGATAGATAGATGGATGGATAGATGGATAGATGGATCGATAGATTGATCGATAGATTGATTGATTGATTGATCGATAGATAGATGGATTGATAGATAGATGGATGGATTGATCGATATATGAATAGATGGATGGATAGATGGATGGATGGATGGATGGATGGATAGATCGATCGATAGATAGATCGATAAATAGATAGATAGATGGATCGATGGATCGATGGATCGATGGATGAATCGATCGATAGATGGATGGATCGATCGATAGATGGATCGATTGATGCGATGGATGGATGGATGGATCGATCGATAGATGGATCGATTGATAGATAGATCGATTCGATTGATAGTGATAGATGGATAGATGGATAGATGGATCGATGGATAGATGGATGGATCGAAGATAGATAGATAGATAGAAGATAGATAGATGGAGGATAGATGGATCGATGGATAGATGGATAGATTGAAGATAGATAGATAGATAGAAGATAGATAGATGGATCGATGGATAGATGGATCGATAGATGGATAGATGGATCGATGGATCGATGGATAGTTCGATGGATCGATGGATCGATGGATCGTTAGTTAGATACGATAGATAGATAGATCGATGGATAGATTGATGGATGGATAGATTGATCGATGGATCGATAGATGGATGGATCGATGGATCGATAGATAGATGGATAGATAGATGGATGGATGGATCGATGGATGGATGGATGGATGGATCGATCGATGGATGGATGGATGGATGGATCGATCGATGGATCGATGGATGGATCGATGGATGGATCGATCGATGGATCGATCGATGGATCGATAGATGACGATCGATCGATAGATAGATGGATGGATAGATGGATGGATCGATCGATGGATCGATCGACGATAGATAGTCGATTGATAGATCGATAGATTGATAGATCGATAGATAGATAGGTAGATAGATAGATAGATAGATAGATTTAAATGTAATTTTGTGTGCTTGAACATCATCCTTGTTTGAATCATGGGTGCTATACTATGACTTCTTGTCACAGCCTTTTTATCTTTGAGGCAATGAAGTAAGAGAGCTATTTACTTTATAAGATTGATCATGCTCCTTCCTAATATTTCAAGTCAATTGCATATGTCCTTTATGATAGAAATAATGGATTCCTGTTGTGTAGTTGCCGACTTTCTAAGCTCAATGCGATCTAGATGTGAGTTTCCAGTTTTCACCTTTTTAATGGTTCCTCAAAATTCTTGCAAGTTGAGAATATATATTATGTTGCCAAATTATGACTGAATCCACCAAGATGGACTATGGTCTTAACATTCTTAATTGATGGGATCATTAAAAAAAGATTTTTGAATGAGTTGAAACACTCCCAATTAAGGAAAATCAAAGTGAGGATGTAATGAGGTTGACCCTAAAGACATTAGATTAATCCTTGATGAAACTTAGAACCTATCGTATGCAAGAGATTTACTTGTTAGAAACTTGGATAATGTGAGTGACATATAAAAAATTAAGATGGTTAATGCTAAATCACCAAAGCAATGAATAAATTCACCGTTGGATTCAATGCTAAATCAACCAACTCAACGATGAGCCTAGTCTCGTAAGTTTTTTTGCATAGCTGCACTGAACATATAAAAAATTAAGATGGTTGTTATCTGCTATCGCAGCCCAACCCTGATGTATTGGTAGGAAGCTTAAAAGCTAAATGAACTGTCAAAGAAATGAATGGGAACTGAGAATTTATAAACTCCACCAGAAATTGTTGAAACAAGGCTAATGAGCAGGCATGCAAGATTTTCTTTCACATCTACCTCTATTTTATATTATTTTATTTTGTTTTTTTTTTTCGGTTTTCATTGCATATGGTATTGTGCAAGACTCAGTTGAATATTTTTTTTTTGCCCGTTTATAGGCTTATTTCACTTTATTATGCTACCAATGTAGGATTTTAACAATTGTATTTGAGAGGATTTGACCATTTCTGTTTGGCATGTGTTGGGCGTGTCCTGCTAAGTTAGTCATGGTTGGCTTTCAAAAGTTTTTGATAATTAAGTTATTAGTATATTAGACTCTTTATTGTCATTATTCATCACATGTTCATTTATAATTTACAAACTCATTATTGATCATACTGATGTTTTTTATTTTTTTATTCTACCAGATTTCAAAACTTCCGTTTTAATCAATTATTGATTAAAAAACCCTCGATTGTTATTAGAGAATTGAAAATTTTATGACAGGTTTTCTTGATTTCAATATACCGTCGCATTTTCTTCTTTTTTGACTATAAAGATGATTGGGTAGTACTTGAATTCATGTTGACTGTTGCAGCAAATGTTTGCTTTTGACAAACCATTAAATCTTAAGTATAAAGCACTTCATCTTTTGTTTTGTTTTTATTAAAAACATGTATGATGAGGAAAAATTACTTCATTTAATTATTCACTTGTAGTGTACATATACATAGAGAAATCAATCCCTCATAAGTTTTAAACTTAATAAATATATCCAGTCTAAATTAAGAAAGGAAATAATTCTAAAATAAAGAAACATAAAATAAGAAGGGAATAAAACTAACAAAGGTGTTTCCAAAGATATCCCCAATTAAATCTTTTCATGATTTTGTGAAATACACCATGGAGAGGAAACAAAACTTCTCAGCTCTCAAAGGGACGTATCCCATTTGGCTAATTACTTCCTGGGGGTTGCTCAAGAATACACTCAATCGAAAGAGTTCTGCTTACAATTGAGTAACGACTAGCAACAGTGTCACCAAGGGTGGTTCTTATAGGAAATATCTTGACAATTTCTAAGCTCTTGCTAAGCCATAGGGCTAAGAGTAAGTCTCTTATAGTCCCAAATGGATAGCGGCTCATAGGCAATTGAGGCTCATGAAAGATTTTGGTCATTTGGTAGGAAACATCCCACCGCTTAAGGCTTGAATGAGTCGTAAGGGTAGAGGACAAATCTTCGTATTCCAAAAGGGCAGTGACCTGTTAGCTAAGTGAGGCCCGTCAAATGACATCGACATAAATATTAAGGGAGCAACATGACTCAATGAGGGTAAACAAAGGAAAGGAGAGTGCTTTCCATCCTATCCTTCATGTTGGGTCGTAGATGTTGTAAAGACCAAGCTTGGTATTGAACTTCAAGAAGGTGCTTAAAGGGAGAGCTTTGGTGAAGACATCAACAACTTGCTGGTGTATCGAGATGTAGCGTAATCGTATAATTTTATCATTAACATTTTCAGAGATAAAGTTTTTATCAATTTTAATATGTTTGGTCTTGCCATGATGTAATGGATTCTTGGCAATATTGACGGTCGCTTGACTTTTACAAAACATATGTATAGTTCTGTTGGAGGTGCACCTCAATTCATTTAATAATTTCTGAATCCAAATCTTTTCACAGATCTTAAGGCGAGTTCTTTGTACTCTAATTTAGCATTGCTTCTAGAAATAATATCTCGCTTATTACTTCTTCATATAACTAGATTTTTTTCATACATAGAAGCAATAATTTGTGGGACCTTCTGTTAGTGAGTTCTCCAACCCGACTTGTATCAGTGTAGAAAACTCAAAATTTTGCTAAATACACCAACTCTAAATGCTCTTCATGTGGGTAATTCATGACAATTCTAATAGAGTATGAAATATCCGGTATCGTTTGTGACAGGGGGATGGGTTTTCCTACCAATCTTTGATATTTTCTTATTCACATATATACTTTATTCTTCATTATTAGACTTCTTGTTGGGATCTATTGGAGTATCATCAAGCTTGCAT